GGTGAGGGGGGAGCGCGCCTCAGAGCACCATCACAGGCAGGGCGGGAGGTGAGGGAGGGGGAGCGGCGGCTCAGAGACCATCACAGCAGGGGGGAGGTGAGGGGGGAGCGGCTCAGAGACCATCACAGCAGGGGGGAGGTGAGGGGGGAGCGGCTCAGAGACCATCACAGCAGGGGGGAAACCACAGCGAGGCTCTGAGAGGGGAACACACAGGATTCAATCTCAATCTTTAGTTGTTCATATAGCACATTCAAAACAACCTCAGTGCTGAACAGCGAACACATAGAATATATAAAACAACACAAAGGAGTCAAATAATAAAACAACAACTGGAAACATATAAAAACATTGTGCGCTCTTGAATGCAGGTATTTTGTGTATTTGTACATATATCTCCGCTAAAAGAAAACTAGCATTACAATTACTGGGTTGATTAAGCGTTCATAAAGAATCGTGACCACTACGATAAAGTGGTAACAGCTGTGATCGTAGTGTGTAAGTACTCTGTGTTTGGTGTTTTGATGAATGGGGGATGGGGAGGTCGCCATCTAGTGGCCGAATGTTATCACTGCTATATGTAGGTCTTCTTCCGTACTTATGTATAGAAAAACATTTGAATGCAGGACTTTAACTAGAAGAGTATTTATACTAACTGTATATCTGCGTTAAAAAAAACATGACGCTAATTTAATTGTGTTAATTAGGCAGTCTGTGATTATTCTTGACCGCGTACGATTAAGTTGCTAGCTAGCTCACAGCGGCAACTTTTTGTGGAATTTGAGAGGACTCTACCTCGTTGAAATTAACGACATGGCAGTTTACTGAAGAGAGTATAATGAAATATATATTTATAAGTGTTTAGTGTTTGGTGTTTTGATGTGAGGTCGCCATCTAGTGGCCAAATGGTATCATGTCTATATTTCTGTCTGATTTTCTGTGTGGAAATTCTTAATTGCAGATATTTTGCTAGTGTATTTGTACATATATCTCCACTAAAAGAAAACTAGCATTACAATTACTGGGTTAATTATGATAAAGTTGCAAGCTAGCTATCAGCGGTGACTTTTCTGTGAAATTTGAGACGACTACCTAGTTAAAATTAATATGAAGTAGCTTAAAGGTGGGGTAGGTAACTTTGGAGAAACCAGCTCGAGTGCGCTGAATTTGAAAATACACAGCCGGTGTCAGTACCAGATATGTTCGGGCTACCAGATATGTTCGGGTGTATTTCCGTCGCATCCGTCATCCGTCATATCCGTCTACTCACCTCCCTCTGCTCCCAGCGCTCTGCTGCCACACACCGGCCGTCTGCGGAACTGCAGCCGGAGGAACTCGGTACAGCTTGTTATGTGTGAACGATCTAGATCCCTCCGCTTCCCCATAATGACCGCGAAATTCTTTCCAATGAAAGTAGCTAGCCGCAATAGCTCCAAGATTGCTATATCTACTTTGTAGGTCGCCAAGTTGGCATCATTGACAGTTCGTCTCTGAAAGCCTCTAAAGCTCTGCAACAAAAAAGGTTCATTATGAATGTAAATACTATACATGGTAATGCAGCAGGGCAGAGTGCGATGAGGCAGGCAGGCAGAACCAGATTTATTTCTAAATATTTGTCGATCAATATTAGGCTACACTAATATAAGGCTACTAGTATTATGATATTACTGCAATAATATTCCAGTGGTGGCTGCTTAAGGTTGTTTCTGGCTCGATTGATCCAAACATTGTCCAAAGCTCAAAATGTATTGTAACAGATGTAAGAAATCTCAAAATGTACAATATGTTTTGATCCAACACAATATTCAGATTCAATCCATATATGTTAGGGTTTTTTTAAACAACATTTTCACCACAATAAATAGACTGCCTTCTCTCCAGCTCACCGCACACAAAGGGGGGGGGGGCATCTGTATTAACGGGTCAGTCTATAAGCACTCTAACAGCACCATAAATTACATTTAAACAACCACAAAAAAACAATTATTGTTTCCGATATTGATTTAACGAGATGCTGTTATAACATGGAAACGGCTTAATTTAAAAAAATAAGCTTCAAAAATGTTTTATGAAGCACACTGGGTACAGCCCTGTAATACATGTGTTCCGTGTGTATATAGTCTTACGCAAGAAACACATAGCATGAACAGACTGCAACAAAACCAGTCTTACAAAACAGACTTCTGCTAAACTGGTGCAGAAGCAAAGCATCTGCCTTAGATGAAGTTCACACAGAACTGTGGAAAAGGGAGAACATCTGTACTTGCTTTCAACGACATGATCAGGCTTATATATTATAAAAGTGTTGGCTAAAGTAACGCAGAATATATATATTTTTTAATTGTAAATAATTAGAAACATTATTTATGTGCACAAGTACACACACATAACAAGCTGTACCGAGTTCCTCCGGCTGCAGTTCCGCAGACGGCCGGTGTGTGGCAGCAGAGCGCTGGGAGCAGAGGGAAGTGAGTAGACGGATATGACGGATGACGGATGCGACGGAAATACACCCGAACATATCTGGTAGCCCGAACATATCTGGTACTGACACCGGACTCAGATGAAAATATTCGTGCTGGCCAAACGGCGGTACTACACTTCCGTTTGGTTGCTGGGCCCGGAAACACTTTTTCCCATTGACTTACATGGGGAAAGAGTGGTCTGTAACTCGTTGGATAATTTTTTTTTAAACTAAATAAACTACCCAGTATGAACACTTGTATAGCCCTTATTGAAAACATTCGGTCCTCAAGTTGTAAAAATGTGCTAATAACGTTGTTCTGAGAGTTATTTCCCTCTGCATTATGAACGCGCATCTAACCCACGGGACCGCGCCGCCCGGCACGTTCATGTTACGTGTCCCAACCAAACAGGGAGGGTGGGGGCTGGAGCTATTGGAGCTACAACGAGCCGTTAAAGGCAGAGAGTGAAATTCAGTGAATACACGTAGTTTACAGAGATGCTGTTTGAGGAATCAATGTGAGTTGTGTTTATCTTTACCCATGGATGCACAATAAGAACGGACCCATATCAAATAGGCAAAGTTGACGTTCAGCAGGGCGGCGGGTGCTGTAGGCTATGAAGGCTAAGCCTTCCCAAATATTTGTGTAACTGCATCCTGGTAAAATAAAAATATAATGTCTTTGACATTAGCGCTGCTATGCAGCCACCTGTGCCCTGCACCACGAAGCCAGTTCAACAGACCCTGGATATGCTAGAGTTATCTTAACTATCCCTAACAAACGAGATCTCGCTTAGCGGTCCTACGGCGCTGGTTATCAACTCGGTAAATCAAGCCAGGGTTTCTCTCTCCAGCTGAGAGCGCGTTCACGTGAAAGGGGCGGGGTTAGCAACATTTGACCAATCACAAACAGGGACAAGTGTACTGACAGCGCAACATCATACTTCATTAATGAAAAGTAAACTAATATTAGACAAATATGAACTTTAAACATCCATGATGACTTAAACATATAATCCAGGATACAAGCCACAGAGTTGCACCTGCAAGGTGAATACAGAACAACGTGTTGAAAAATAAACTACCGAGTGTTTGAAAGCGTACAACAGTTTTATTATACTGCCCCATCTAAAACACGAGGGGATCTGACTTTATTACATTTGAGTTGAGTGTTTCGTCAACTTAATGTGTTGCTTAAAATAATCCGTCTGCATCCAGTATATGAGACAATGTAACTAAGTGTTGCACGGCCAGATACGGCTCGAGAAGCTGACTCAGATAAGGAAATATTGTGATATCGATGTGAGATCGATGATCTGATTGATGATGTGATGTCAGTGTGATATGAATGATAAGTGCGACACGTCGGCGTCTTCTCTGCATACGGCAGTTTAAACTGCATTACCTTTTTCCTGTAATATGACTTGATAGATTTAAACTCCGCACACTGAGCTCTGATCGGTCAGCAGGCGGTGCTTTCACTGAGTTGATCTCTTTTCTATAGACGCCGGAGGCGGGCAGCGTAAGATGAAAAAAAAAGTTATTAAGCCTTCCCAAACCTGAGCCTCACGCGCCGCCTATGTCTTTACCCATGGATGCACAATAAGAACGGATCCATATCGTCTCACTGCCATCCCACGGAGCTGTAATAATGGATATATTGCACATGTTTGCTGTAATTCATTGTCATACTACATGGGCTGTATGATTACATCTTGTACCGTAAATGTTGTATTAAATAAAGTTAATATTACTTATTATTATAAGTATATATATTATTAGCTTGCACATCTTCCGGCGCAAACTGAAAACTCATCTCTTTCGACTCCACTTCCAGCGATAGAACTATTAACAAAGCACTTATATACTAATAAAGGACTGGCTTATCTAAAGCCAGTTGAGTAGCACTTGAAATGTTTTTGCTCTATGAAGCCTGATGTACTTTATGATTCTGTTTTCTTCAAGGTTGTATTTTGTTGGTTGAATGCAGTTATTGTAAATCGCTTTGGATAAAAGCCTCAGCTAAATGCAATGTAATGTAATGTAATATATATTATATATATATATATATTAGGGCCGGGACTCGATTAAAAAAATTAATCTAATTAATTAGAGGCTTTGTAATTAATTAATCGAAATTAATCGCATTTTTAATCACATAAATATTTGACCTGAGAACAGTGAGAAGCAATTTTTTTCACATGGATTTTAGTATACCATTAGGCGCATTCACACCGCAGTACTTTTCCCACAAAGGTTCATGAGAACTCTTTGAACCTGGGGGAGGATTAGGCAAATGAAGCCGCTGACGTCACTTCTTCTTCTTCTGCTTTGGGTTTACTGGCAGGCCGCAAACCACTTCACGGCGTATACTGCCGCCCAAAGTCCCCGGCCGGAAGTCCCCGGAGTTGGGGACTGGCTTCAGTAGAAGCTGCTGGGAGTCCCAGCAGCTTCTACTGAAGCCTTCCGAGTAAATCGCCAGAACGCCGAGACCTCCTCATCTCCACCGCTCCCATGTTTTATTTTGTGTTGCCATAAGTTAGTCTCTCTGCGTTTCTGCACTGGGATAATGCTAATGCTAATAATGCTAATGCGAGGATAATAAAATGGCGGCTTCACAAACCTTTTTGGGAGTTTTACGGGGCGTGGTTTGCAATCCGCCCAGCCAATCAGACATATAGCTCTTTTCTCACAAGAGAGCCGCACGAAAGTCCCTGCTCTCTAGCAGCTCTCTGCTCTCTAGCAGGGACTTTCGTGGGGGTAAAAAGGTTCTCATGAACTCATTTTAGTACCGGCTCTTTTTGGTGTGAACGCGATAAAAGAGGCTAACGTCCACGCTAGCTTCCACGCTAGCTGCTATATGTTTTGCATCGAGGTGATACTTGAGGCTTGATGTGCTGCGGTGATATGCGAATTCCTTTTTGCATAATTTGCACACAACCGTGCTCTTATCGACGCTTCCATCCGTCCGTTTTTTAAAACAACATTTCCCACTGTTGTTCACTGTGGTTTGTTGTTGTCTGAAGTCATGAACGTTAGTTGGTGCTCCAGTATAATCGGTACGCCTGAAACTCATCCAGTGAGAAACGTTCCGCGGTGCAAAAATAAGTGCGATTAAAATGCGTTAATTTTTTTAACGCGTTAATTTTTGTGTAATTAATTAATCTTAATTAACGCGTTAAAGTCCCGGCCCTAATATATATATATATATATATATATATATATATATACAGTGCAATAATTCTTTCATGCTAAATGAAGCTCTGTTGCTTGGATATCACTAGATCCTGTTACAGCGTAATATAAGTACATACCGATTGATGTGTACATTAGCATAATTACTAGCTAGCCGCTAGCTGCTAACTGCCGCCTCGTTAATATCAAATCCATCATAATAACAATCCATTACCATGCTGTCATGAACGCGCGGTGCTGTTACGTGTAAATTGACGTGCTTGATGTGAAAGAGCATTTTGGTTAAAGTTGTGCATGCTCTATGAGTGCACATACGGGTACTTCTCAGGCCTGCTGGGTAATCTGTGACGTTTCACTCTCTCAAAAGTTGGGCCATTTTATCATCATGCGCTAATGAGCAGCTCTCATAGGAATGAATGAGGCCCCGCCTCCCACGCTGTATCCAGTTCTTATTATACATCCATGATCTGGTACTGACACCGGAAAAAATCTGCCACTTCCTCACAGAGCCCC